AATTTGGTTTGTCTAATTCAAACCATCTCTGAGGAGCAGAGTCAAATGTAAAAAGTGTTGCAGCTGTCCCCGGTCTCCCCTGCTTTGTGCACAGTGACAGAGGCTGTGTGACGAACACCCACCAATCTGCTTGTGAGGAGCAGTGAAGTCGGTCCCAGGTTCGAGTTGAAGCTTCAGTGAAATGAAACAGACAGATGTCACCACATCACACAGACTGAACCTCAACATCTAAAAGCAGCTCAGTTCTCTCAGAACACAACACAAACAATATCCTGTCTGAATAAAGCGGTGACCACACATGGAACACACGAGATAATTTACATGTTTAAATGTCAAAGCAGGCTAAAACTTTGCTCTTTAGATGTAACTATATTTAACTAAGTTAACTAATTAATTATGAAACATTTCAAGTCTGCCCAGACTTTCCAGTTCCACTCTCCCACCTGACACCTCCCTGTCACCAGCCTTCTCTGCAAAAACCATTGATTTTTATCTTTAGCGTTATATAAATAATACCACATGACAAATAAATGATGAATAAAAAAGTCATTATTTTGCACAGAAGTGTCATTTTACTGATTGATCAACACACTGTTGCACAAAAGTCTTCATTTGCTCATTGACTTTACTTATTTTTTTACATTTTCCTCATTTGTTCTTACCTTTTCTGCAGGCATGTCTTTAATTCTTTTCTGTATTTGTAAAATCTGCCAGGCTTCCAAGCCCAGAGCTGCGAACACCAGCAGGAACAGCATCAGCACCARCATGACCAAACTGGGGCTGACGCCCATGCAGCCCCGACTCTTCCCGCGGCTCTTCATCGTCTGCGCAGCGGGGGGGAAGGACCAGCAGGGGACCAGATTGGGAGTCTGGGCCGAGTGGCGTGGACCTGCTCCTTCATCTACAAGGAACACCTGTGGGAACGGGTACCTCTGGTCACAGCTCATGGTGCAAACTGAGAGACGAGCTGTCGATGACGAGCTGTCATCTGCTCTGCAGGGAGGAGGTGTGGACTTCTGACTGAGCACTGCTGTCACCACCCACCAGTCTCTGCTACACCTGCCCCAAACACTTCACACAACCTGCTAAAACATCCTCTCCTCATCAGAGACATCCTTGTTGTTGAATCTAATGTTTGTAGGTTTTGTGTAATTAGATCATCTCTATGTGTTGTGTAATGTGCGCACGAATGAGTGTTGAAGACAAAAGGAAGTCTGAGGTTTTGGCTGACCCGTGCCTCTTTAACCACCTTCTCATTTTCAGAAAGACAACTTATATCAGGGCTATTCAACTAAATCACTCCGGGGGCCACAGTTACTGCAGACCAACAGCTGAGGGGCCGAACATCCAGCAATTAAAGTCATCATGTAAATAAACCAAGTATTACAAAGATCTATCTTTCAAATAGTTTATTTTGCTGCATTTAATCATGAATACAACACACAGAACCCATATAAAAGTAGTGATAATTAAACATTATCAAAAACAAAAAACACATTCTGCCTCTTATTTGACACAAATATTATTTTGACATCTCTGACTTGCCAATTTTATTTTCACTTTCATCATTTTATGTTCAACTGCTTGTAGTTTTAACTGTCTTGACTGTGCATAGAAACGTTTTTTACCTGCTTGTAGCCAAGATTCTGATGTTTCTGTAGACACCAAACATGTCCATGTTTAACTAAAATAACGTAGAGTAATTAAAGTAGGAAACCGGGGGGTTGGACTTAAGAGATGAAAGAACAAATTGGGCCGAACTTTGGTCACTCGCGGGCCGGATGTGGCCCGTGGGCCGCCACTTGAATAGCCCTAACTTATAACAAATTCCACGAAAGGAAAAAGTGATCCGATCACCTGGCCAGGCATCATTTTGAAGATGACAGCATTTTACGACAACACACAGGAATCCAGTGAATTCAACCCAAACAAACATGGATTTTCATTCTTGTGCTTTATTTTTATAGATAATAATATGAAACCACATTCTTCTTGTTTCAGCTGCATGTTAGTAAACAGTGATACAGCACTTTCTATAGCACACAGCGTATTTCTTGGTGGGAAGAGAAGTGCCACATGAAAAGACCAGATGTCTGCACAGGGCCTGTGTGCWCGCTGCATGTGAGCGGTTTGCAGCAGCAGTCACTTCACAGAGGTGAGATTTAACCCCAGCTGTACCTCAGAGGAGCTTACAGGAAAGCTTAGAGCACAGCTTAAATGAAGCCCACTCCTTATGACTGCTGCTGCTAAAACATGTTATCTACGGAGTGCTGTTTGTAAAGTTACACAGTCAAAAATTACCACCAATATTTATGTTTTATTTAACATTTTATAAGAAAAAAAGAACAGATTTATTTTTCAAAGTCAGTTTTTCACCATATTATTCATACATTTATAAATATCAGTCTATAACAGGACTATTCAACTGGAGGCTCACGGGCCAAATTTGGCCCGCGAGTGCCCAAAGTTCGGCCCACCAATTGGTTCATTCATCTCTTCAGCCCAAACCCCCGGTCGTCTACTTTAATTACTCTACATTATTTTAGTTAAACATAGACATGTTTGATATCTACAGAAAGATCAGAATCGTGGCTACAAGCTCATGAAAACAATTTCTATGAACATCCAAGACACTTAAAACMGCAAGCAGTTGAAAATAAAACTATGAAAGTGAAAATAAAATTGGTTAAAAAAATTGGCAAGTCAGAGATGTCAAAATATTTTGTGGTAAATTAGAGGCATAATATGTTTCTTTTATTTTTACCATCACTACATTTATTAAATAGATTTCTGTGTCTTTTCATGATTAAATACAGCAAATATAGTATTTTAAAGGTAACAGATCTTTGTAATACTTAGTTTATTTACATAACAACTTTAACTGCTGGATGTTCAGCCCCTGAGCTGTTGGTCTGCATTAACT